TGGTAAGATACATGCCAGTTTGCCATCCTGAGAAAGGATGATTGCAGGAATAGGTATCTTATCCGGCTTATGATACCATACTTTATCTGCTAACACTGTGGGATCTATAGGTTCTACATGTAACGGTACAGGGGAACTCATAATTGGCCATACATACAGAAGACCAGTAACTCTCTGACTTTGGCAGTGGTCCCACAAGATCCACCTGCCACCATGTCAGGGGCACTCTCACATGAGTTATCTGCCCACCAGAGGCACCCATCTGCTCATCAGGAGCACATCTGCCCATTAGGGACATTTTTTCTCTCAGGTTTAGATGGCACCCGGTCTTGCAGCCAGCATGCTGCATTCTCCAATGTAGCCATTAAAGCTACATTAGCTTCTGGAGTTCTCTCCAGCCATCTTACCTTACCCAGTGCATCAGCTTCATCATTGTCAATTCAACATGAAGCCTCCGATCCTCGCCTGCCCCCAAAAGACAAGCATCTTGGCCTGCTCCTTAATCGAAATTGAACATTTCATCCGCCGCCTCAGGAGCAATCAAAAAGTCCTTTAAATCCACTGAATGTACCTTGTTACCTGTTTCCAGACATCTAGTGAAATGCTGTTCAGGGCACAATTGCTGCCACAAGGCAAACCGAACTGCATTTGGTTGCCGGTCAATGTTCTTTTCATCAACCCCTGCTGAAAGCAAGTCAAGCCACATCTGCTTACGGCTAGTCTTGCTTGGTCCCTTTGGGATAAAATCCAAAGCATTTCTTGGGGATTTGGTTTTAGCCATCTTTCAGACCCCTTTTGTTTGTCTCCTATTCCTACTTCAGCCAAGGCTCCAAGGGACCTTTTTGCCGGTTATGTAGCTCATAGACCTGCATGTGAAGGGTTTGTGAATGGGCTCGGGGGGTCTGTGAGCTCCAGACCCTAGCCCTAGCTCTACACCTAGGTTGCATTTATTATGTTAATTCTTGTGTCTTGTAATAAATGAAATTTAAAACTATTAAAACTTGAGTGTAATTTAATCTCAGCTAAATATAAAAGCTTAGTCATTTACATGGCGCTACCAAGAGTCCATCTGTAGACAAGCCCATTAATTGTAGTCTTATTCGCTCACTCACTTAGCTATTCATTGTTTTTTAACTTCAAAACTTTTGAGTGCAATCTCAGTTATTTTAATCTGTAGATCATAAATTAAGCAGTGATATTCAAAGTACCTTGTGTAAGAAAAAAATGTTCCCTATTTCTCAAATTTCTCCTTGTTTGCCTAACAGCATTTTCCCCTGCTCACTTCTCTTTTCCTTTTTGAAACAATTTAGCTTCATTTTCCCTCATAGAGATCTAGATAAATGATTTCACCTAATCTGTTCAGAGGCTTATGGCTCTAAAAGTAGATAATCCAGGTGGCCTAACCTGATCACATGAGCTCTTCAAAAGTGGATACATTTTTTTTTCCAAGCTTGTAGCAAAGGAGGAAAACAGAGAAGTTTTAAGAATGAGATCGCTTCAATGTAAGTGATGTTTTTCATTGCTGAGACAGATGGGCTATGGGCCACGGACCTGTGAGTAGACCTAGGAGCTCAGAGTGGGTCCCTGGCCAAATCAGCCTGCAAGGTAAAGGAGACTTGAATCCTACTACTGGAAGAACATAAATAAGCTTGGAAGTGAATTCTTTACAGGGACTCTAGATAAGAGCCCAGCCTGCCTGACACATTGATATTGGCCTTGTAAGGCCCTAATCAGAGAACCCAATTGAGCCCACCTAGATTTCTGACCTACAGAACTGTGAGATAATAAATGGGTATTGCTTTAAGCTTCTAAGTTTGTGTTAATTTGTTATGCAGCAATAGAAAATTAATACAATATTAAAATTTTAATAAGCAAAAATGTGCAAAACTAAATGTTGGTGTGGATGTGGAACAACTGAAACTCCTTCTCTGTTGTTGGGAATGCACATTAGTACAGAAAACTGTTCGGCAGTATCTGTTAAAGCTTAACATAAAACATATGAACATACCTTAGGAACAATTAAAGTTTCTAGATATTTTTCCAATAAAAATCTATTTATGCATCTATCAAAAAAGTACAGGAATGTTCATAGATATTTGAAATAGCACCAAAGTTGTGCTATGTCCATTACCAATAAAATATATAAATAAATTCTGGCATATTCATCCGTGGAAAGCTACACAGGTATAAGAATGAACCAACTACTGCTATCCATAGATAAATCTTACAAACATATATTAAATGAAATAAGTCACACTTAAAATAGTACATTCACAAAGTGGAAAGCTACACAGGTATAAGAATGAACCAACTACTGCTATCCATGGATAAATCTTACAAACATATATTAAATGAAATAAGTCACACTTAAAATAGTACATTCACAAAAGAGTGTGACCCATTTGTATAAAAGTCAGAAATACGCAAAACTAACCTATGGTAATATAAGTGATAATAATGGTTAAGTTTGGAGGTTACAATAGTGTTTGGGAAAGGGTACCAGAAGGGGTTTTAGGATTCTGGTAATATACTATTTATTGATCTTGATGCTGATTAAACTGGTGTGTTCATGTTGAAAAGAATCATTTAACTGTACATATGTGACTTATGCACTTTTAATTTTTCAATGAAAAGCGTTTTTTAAAAAAGACTACAAAGTGCTTTCAATACTTTTTCTGCTGTGGGCTTAAAAAAAGAAAAAAATTCCCAAGATCATAAAGCTAGTGAGTGGAAAGCCTTAGACTGGAAAATAATAATTAACGATGATTTAAATAATTAATGTTTTAGTTGAATTATATCTTTTATTTGACTGGAAATAGAAAAGAGAAAAGGATAAATGAGAACAGTCCATAAATAATTTTGACATTTATAATTAATTTTTTTTAAAAAACAGTTTGCCGGGAGGATTCATACCACTCTGTAGTCTCATGTGCTGCTGTAGTTCTCACTTCTATGGAACCAACAATAGAAATGAAGAAAAGAGAAGAACCAAAATTTCCCGAGCCTTCCAAACAGTAAGTCATTTGTTTAATTTTTCAGGGCCTTGAGAAATCAATTAGGTAACTGATCAGAATTATATTGATCAGAAATGGTGACTTATAATAAATGTGTTAATATTAGTATACAGAAAGAACAGAAATAAATCATGTGTAACATTTTTAAAAATCTATCTTATATTGTCTCAAGGAATAACTTCTGTGTCTCCTAACTTTGTGTATTCGAACCTTTAATATAAAGTTCTTAGCCTGAAGTTGGTTTGCATTTTTATAAGGAATGTAAGTTATTTTAAAATATTTATTAAATTATCACAAATTAAAACTTCACACTATTAAATATTTCCATATTTTTGCCATTTAAACAGTTCAAACTTCCATTTAAATTTACATTCAATCTTATATAAAATAAATGGTAGATTTTTATTCTTATAATGGCCAAAGAGATTCAAATCTATGGTAGCAAATGTAAGATACATGGAGTTGAAATATTAAATAAATTAGGATTATTTCTAGTTATGCATTAAATAAGTGAAAAGGGAAAACTTGATGATGATTTTCCAGGGAAAATAGTGCCATGCCTGCCAAAGGGTCTGAGGTTTCAGACTATGTACAGTGTTGCCAAGGACTATTGGCTGAGCCAGACATTAACAAGGAAGAAGGTGCCCTGATACACTTGCTATTTTCCCCATTAGATCACACAGTTATAGTTTTTTGTGCTTGCATATCTTTTTACTGCATAATAAGCTCTTGAAGACAGAGTTTCCTGGAACATGATTGCATTTGATACTCTTTGTGAAATCAATTAGAAAAACCCTCAATGTTACTTTCAATAATGTTGAATTCAAATGGAGCAATGTATATATTTGATTGCATGAAGATATTCAGTGTTAATATTCTCATTATAGAGAAAAGAAAACACTCACCAATTTAGAAAGTAATGATTGTAATTCAGTTTTAATACAATCTAAAAATGAAAACAATTTAACTGCTTTTAATATAATCTAATTTTTAAGTTCCAAAAGCCATTTCTTTTTTGTTTAATAGAAGGAAAATTGTATCACATATTTGCCAGTTGAATTATATCAGAAACTTCAAATGTGTTTTCCTGTAATATATGTGTGAGTTTCCATAAGTTACCTATATATTTGCAACTTTTATCTTAAATTTTTTAAAATTGTTTTTCAGTGACTCTGGTCAAAACTGGTGAATAGTGTTATTTGTCTACACATCTTTTTTTTCCAATCTTTGGCTACTTCATAAATAGAGATTTTTCTCATTCTGAGATATATGCATTTTAAACAGTCCGTGTTTATTTACTTACTATCGATTTCTTCCTGTTCCTTAGAGCTTGTCTGAAACTCTGTATCCTCTAAATCTACTTCCTCATTTAAACTTTCTCTCCCAACTATATTATTAATTTATATAGGTTTTGTTGCTGTTTTTGTTTTATAGGTCACGGAGACCTTGGCTAAAATCTTAATTTTGCTACATATTAGATGGGAATTGTGTATATTTTATTCAAGCTCTCTGTGTTTTATTTTTCTCATCTATTAATTGGGGTAATATCACCACCCTTACTGTATGAGAAAAGATATTGGTAAAATACCTGAAATCTAATAACTCATAAAGTTGTAGCAATGCTGCCCCTTACATAACTTCAACTATCAATGTTATGGATGATTTACATATATATATTCCTCTTCTCAGGGTTCTTCTCAATGAAAGTCTAATACCTGTAAGTTTTTGATCAGACTTGTCTAACTAGGTGTCCTGCCAGAATCTCATACTATGTATGTCTGAAATCAAATTAATGATCTCTTCTAGCCCCCTTGAACTCTCGATTCTGTCTGACTTCTAGATTTATGTAAAGTAACTATCATTTTTCTTTTCTTAAAATCTTGGTATGTTTCCCTGCTCACACCTCACATTCAATCAGTTACTGATTACTTAATTAATGTCTTCATTATATTTTCTTACCATTTGAGCTGACCTGGAAGGCATATATGAGGGTACTTCAAATGTTTATGGAAAAATAGAATTAAAAGATAATATGCATCTTCCCATGAACTTTTTTTCCACAAAGAACACTGTACATCTCATATTTTAATTTTTTTAGCTTTTTAATTTAATGTTTAGAATGGAAATTATTTTCTCAACATACAAATGAAGGAAAATATCACAAATTGAATTTAAAGTCAATTGATAAGAAAAAAATGAACACACAAAGACTGACATCCTTAATGCATAAAGAACTTTTAAAAATGAATTAGAAAAATCTTAACAGAAGTTTGGTGAAGGACATGATCAAACAAGTCACACATCCCAAAGAAACACCTGTGGCTAATAAATACATTCTAAGATGTTGTTGCAGGCAGGGATAGGGCAGCCCCATGACCCATTTCAGGACCCCTAGAATGCTACTCCATTGCTTACCTAGATGCGGGTGGGGTCATGTTTTACTTTTTATCTAACATTTATCTTCGGTTGTGATTTTAATGAAGCTATTTGAATATTGTGAAATAAGCTCTTCAAATATATCTTCAATTGTGATCTTAATAAAGTCCTGTATCAAATGGAGATTACGTATACCCTACATACCTCAAACTGTTATTTTGAGAATTAAATAAGTGCAGATATATGGCAAACACACAGTGTAAATGCAAAGACATAGTGTTCAATTCAAGGGTTTTGTTTGCCAGTGAATGAAGTCCCACTGTAACCTGGTTTCAAAAGGAATCAAGGGTGGTAGTGTTTACTGGCTCATGTAACTAAAAAGTTTAGGGGTAGAAATTTCCTCAAGTGTATCTGGATCTGTTCCTCAAATGATATCATCAAGGGTCATTCTCTCTATCTGCATCTCTTTGCTCTGCTTTTCTGTTTGGAGTTTCTATTTCCCAGGAGGTTCCACTAATGTGATGTTACTGTCTTCAGCAGCAACTGAAATGGATTTTTATCTCTTCAATAAATCCAGTGGAAAGAGATGGTTTCTGTCCCATTTAATCAAAACAAGCCTCAAATTGTAGTGTCATTAGCTTTGAGTAGCTTAGCTTGTCTCACATGACTATTTATTCTGAAGCAATCACTGTACCCAAAGGTATTTGGTTATGTTATTGGCAAAACAAGGTCACATGACAAGCCCTGGAGCAGAGGGTGAAGATGAGAGCGGAAAGACGATTCTACACTGGAAGTACTAGAGGTACTGGAGACGTTGGTAAAAGAAGGCAGAGAACAATGATGGGTAGTAAAAATAAATGAATATTCAATTAAAGGTAGTAATATTGTATTAGTCCGTTTTGTTTTGCAATAACAGAAATGCCTGAGACTGGGTGATTTATAAAGAAGAGAGGTTTATTTGGCTTACTGGTTTATTTGGCTTTGGTTTATTTGTTTCTACCGATGTCAGAAAAGTGGCAGGCAGAGCACAGGGAGGCAGAGGGGGAGGGGGGGAAGGAGAGAGGGGGAGGGAGGATCTGCCAGTGTCTTTTAAACAATCAGCTCTTGCGGGAGAACTAACAGAGCGAGAACTCACTCACTACCCACCCCCCCAGAGAGAGCATTAATCCACTCATGAGGGATCCGCCCCCATGACTCAATCGGTTTCCGACACTGCCACATTGGGGATCAAATTTCCACATGAGTTTTGGAGGGGACACACATCCAAACTCCATCAAATATTATCACTATTAGTTTTAAAAGTCAGAATTCTTTATTAGATTTATAGATAGTGAAGTACCACACTAAAATACAATATGTGTATCTTCCTTTATGACTTTAAATGATTTTTCACCTACTTAATTTTATTTCATGTTATTTGATCTGGTTGTGCTATTTATTGAGAGGCAATATAACTTCGTGGTTAGGAAACCAGGCCTTGGGCAGGTTTTTATGAAAGTATTAGCCATAGTTTGTTTATTTTTAATGTAGAAGTTACTTTGTCTACCTCATAGTGCAATGACTGAAACATAATAGGGAGGCAAGAATATATAAATTTTGTAATTTTTTAAACAACAAATGTATTAGGTAAATAGCCACATCACATTTTTATAGATGGAGTTACCAAAGCCTTGTATGTTATTAATTTTGTGTATTTTGGATTTGGATTTACTATAAGAAAAAATAGTAGACATAAAATAATTACCCACCAATATAATACTGAGATATTTGAATGCTATAAGTTGAGACATTGTCTTTGGATACCTAATATTTCAAATTTCAAGGCTTCCTTGTAATGCTTCATTTTGTTGACATGAAGAAGGTTCACTGAGCTTCTTCTGAAAGGGTGCAGATGCTGTCATTTAGTACAAAAGTCTTATTTTAAAAGAATGACTAAAATTAACCTATTTTATTCTTAGATGATAGTAAAGAACACACAGGTTTGAAGTTCTTTTATTTATTTTTTTTAGTTTTATCTGAATGAATAATATATATTAATTTAGAGAAGGTAAATACTCTAATGTCATCTATAAAGTTGTCACACAAACTTTGTGATTGTATTGGAGACACATCAAAGAATTATTATCAGCTAATCTCCAACTTTCTTTACAAATTTCAGGGGAGTGTGTTTATTTATGCTTTCAGGAAGACATTCATTTGTTAATTTAATCTATTTTGAGTGTGTACTTTTTTCTTGGCACTGAGCCAAGGGCTGGGAAAAGCAAGTGCTGTCCCTTGTGAAATTTAGAGTGTAGTCAGGTGGACAGACATTAATCAGTTAATTTCAACAAGAAATGGAAAGTTGTAGCTCTGACAATGGCTATAATGTTGAGGTATATCTTGTTATAAGGGCTTATAGTAAGGGGTTTTAATACAGCCAAGGAGGACAGAGAAAACTTCCCTGAGAAAGTGACTCTTGAGCTAAGATATGAAAGATATTAGTTAATCAAGTAAAAAAGCAAAGCAAGAACTCTGCAGCAGAAAGAAAGCGTGTTAAAGTACTCTGTGACGGGTGGGAGTAAGGAGAAATTGAAGGAAAAGCTGTGGGAGTAAAAGGAAGCCAAAAACATGTTTTTAAGCAGGGC